TAAGGTGAGCCTACGAAAGGGAATCTTTTCTGACTACCTGTATGTCAATCAATGACCGAAGGTACACTACCCACTTAGCTGGCAGGTTCAGGGCTTCGGGGTCAGTAGGAGAAAATAGATGCCCGTTTTTCATTGCTGCTTACACCCCAACGAATGATGAAATTGGCTCTGCGAACGATGACTTCAGTCATCAACCAATCGATCTGCTTCATCACAGTAGTACAGATGCTACAGTGCCAGCTGGGATTTCGAACACTCGGTTGGAAGATTATTCAAATATGAGTTCCGTATGGATGAGCAACAAGATTTAGACACCCCTGACGAAAACGGCGAACGCTTGCCACACTAAAGTAAAGATAGTCATCTATTTCGCACTAGCAGTGGCCTACACAGCACACCACCAGGGCTACACAGAGCCCCCCGGCCTCAGTTACGTTTGGAGAGGGTGCGACCAAAACTGTAGCTCGATTTGGAGCACGTGCATGGGATCCAAATATGCACCTGAATATGCCTATCTCCGGGTACGGCCCTGTGGGTGCTTAAACATTTGCAACCAATGGACGCTGGCAACCTGGTTAAGTAAGTGCTTACCAAACACGCTATTGGTGACAACTATTTCCATGAGACAACTTCAGTCAGTGTTTAGAATTCCTCGATGCTCGCAGACACATTCCGGCTGGAAACGAAGACAGCGAGACTGGTAAGGCTATCCTGGCAAAACTGCCTGCTAGCCTGAAGCGAAACCAGGAAGTATGATGGTTTCATTGTGCATCGGAGATGGAAGCAGATGCTATCCCTAGTGACCATCGAAAATTATTCGGTTTCACACGGAAAACGGATAACATGGGATATGATGTTAGTGCAACTATTTGCGCTGAAAGAGGATAGGTTATCCACAGACTGTCAAGACGCTTGCAACGTTGAGCTGATCACTTTGAAAGGCAATTTAATGGGTTAAAATTGCCAGGTTCGTTACCTGCCCGGGATTCCATTGCCTCCTGGGCCGTCCCTTCGAATCTGCTCCTGGCGTGCGGGAGGTGAACGTCAAACTGTACTGCTAAAAAAAAAATAGCCGCAGGGCCGGAATGCATTACTCCAGTTTCCTCAACTGCGGCGACCACCTCCTGTAAACAAATAACACCCATTGTCAGCGGGCAGACAGTCTGCAGCTTCTACCTTACCGTCGCGATTTTCAATGGGACGCACGTTCGGAATATGGGGCAATCCTTGACCTATCGGTCTGATTTCCATATCCATTAAATCGCTTGTCTGTGGTTTTCATAGAGTGACCGACGCTCACGAACACCAGGTAGCGAAAGGAATGTCAAGTTACGTCAAACTAGAGGCTGTATTGACCACATTTTCACCTAACGTCAGCTGTCGGAGCACTACCACATATATTGGCGACCCACTCTAGCCGTGCGCCTCCACATCAAAGGTACATTCGATTGGGCAGATTGATGGTCTCGTTGGGGGGGGGGGGGTGCTTAAGTAGGAAAGGTGTGCCTGAGTTCGAGTGCATTACCAGAGAGGGTTAATGGTCAGCTGTCATGACCGTTCCACGTACACAGCGGTAAGACAGTACTACGTGCCGCCGCCATTATCATTAAACTAAGTTATTGCGAAAATTATGGATACTTCTATCAAGAGTCTTCCTTGACAGTGTCGGTGTGATCGATTATTCGACTTGAAATACATCGACGGTATTGACTTAATCTGAGATAAATTACAAGCCTGTCAAACAGCGCTAGACCGATTGGCGCTGGCCGTCAATCGTTTTGGACTCTGCTTAACACCTTCAAGATGCAAAGCTTTTCCCTGAAATTAGCAGTGATCAATCCATGTGCTGACCGTTAGGGATCGTCTAGAACTTGCTGAGAGAATCAACTACCTGAGCAGCTATAGAAGTGTTTATAAAACGGGAGATGCGAGCACAAATTTCCTAACGAAAGCGCGTGACGCTTTTGCTAATTCTCGTCACTTATGACACTGGCTCTGAAGGATAACCTGCAATGGTACAGTCTTCGAAATAATTTGGAACACTGGTAGCCCGGCTTGGTTGCTCACCTGTTGATCATTATTCTGAGCTTGGTAAAGAGATCGCATACGTTTCACCACCATGCGAGGTGGCATCTTCAGTGCAGTAATAGGCAGGGTATAACGCTGCTTATTGAATTGTCAGTCCGTCATCCACGGGCAGGTGACTTTTGAAGGTGGCAATTTTGATTTGCGCCACGTGATCTCTGCCCATTTGCTTCCACGGCTGAACCCCGTCTTGCGATTCGCCGGAGATCTTTCTTTCTGAGTTGATGGCACACGGACTCGACGTCGATGCACATGTTGGTCGATTTGTTAGAGGAGTACCATGCTTCTAGGAACTCTCGTCCTTTCTGTGTTGTTGTTTGAGCAGAGATCACGTGGCGCAAATCAAAATTGCCACCTTCAAAAGTCACCTGCCCGTGGATGACGAACTGACAATTCACTAAGCAGCATTATACACTGCCTATTACCGCAATGAAGATGCCACCTCGCATAGTGGTGAAACGTATGCGATCTCTTTACCAAGGTCGGAAAAACGATCAACAGGTGAATGGTACAGTCTGTTCAATCTTACCGTACGACAGAAATATAGAAACTAGTCGCGTTCGGTTCAAAAAGTGCTAGTGATTAGTGCAGCACGGGTATTTCACCCACCAAGCTTTGATGGCACACTAACTATGGCGTGTTGCTCACGCTCAGCTAATGTGTACCGATGATGATGGTGGTGGCTGGGACACGTGTTACGTATGCCAGCACACCGACTTTCGCCCGACCAGGTCAACTGATGACTTGGTCAAGGGAGATGACGGCTGCCATTTAGAGATTGGGCTCCGTTGTGGCTTCTCAACTGCCGAGTTGGGACTTCAGAGATCGACATCATTTTTGGGGACCCGTGTTTACACAGGCAACAGTAGTTAACGCCGTGTTGTTTTTCCCTTTGCTTATCCACGATTTTAACCTTTATGTCCTTCCTGATGCATAATAAACAACGAAGCATAATCTTTTGTGTTTTTTGTTTTCAAGACTAGTTGATTGATCTGTATTGCTGTACGATAGTTTATACCTTTATCGCTCGAACTGAGGTACACTGTGAACGAAGAACTGACAGACAATGTGTAAGGTTGTCCAACTGTTCATGAATATCTCAGGTCTCCTACAATACTGAACATAGATACTTACTGATCCTCCATTTTTCACGGTGTACAGACAAACGCGCCCACTGCTTAACCATGTGAAGCTAAGCGTTACAGTAATGCCGTCTTTGTAACTAGTACTTAGCGACCTATCACAACTAGTACTACTATGGGTATCTGTCCACTTGTCCATCACGAAACTGTAGGCGTGCTAACTTATACCACTCATGAACTTCCTCCCCAAAGTAAAAGGTTGAAATTAATTCGATAATTGTACCCGTGTTTGCCCATCATTTCTGGGACCAGCAACGATCAATTTCTTATGACTTTGGGGACTCCGCTCGTTTACGAATCTAGGTGGGTTTACGTATGTACAGTGCTTGAAATGATCAGCTGAACAAATTAGCTAGAATGAGACACAAAGACAACTTGCAATTTCATGAAAACAAAAGATGGAATTTTCCGTCCTTGCTGTCTTCTGTGGTTTTCATGGCAATTAACGTAAAGAAAAGTTAAGTACCTATTACGCAACCATGATCAGAAACGCTACAGTCGTCGAAATAATTGCGGCTTGAAGATTGCAGTGTTAATTCATAGTCTTTAAGGTAAACAGTCGGGATAGAAATTTCAATCTCTTTAATCTACGCTATACTGGCTCAAGTATATATGAGAAATCCCTGGATGCAGCGCTGTCCGTTTGTCGATCCAAATGGACTGAGTCATTTAGCTACAATTTGATTTCTCGGATTCCGTTTAGGAAACATAAACCCACAACTTTACTTTTTGGGTCTTTGGTCTAAAATTACAACTTTCCTTATCTAATAACAATAATGACTGCCGGGAATACGGAATGAGCATTCACCTTTAGCGACTGGTTTATCGACGATGGGCAATTATTTTTTCAACAGATGCCCCAATTCCGCAGAAATAACCCTACCCCACACTGAAATACAACTGAATCTTCTTCCCCAATTACGCGATGACGGAAAGTTGGTTGGGGCTGATGCGTCAGTGGATAACCAGCACAGATCTGTTTGGGTCGATGAGGCATCATATCCACACCCTGTTGAAAGAACTCTACGAGAACACAGAGCTATGGGCCAATCACTAAGCGAAGAGCCAGGGGACGAACCACCGATACTGATGATCCAAGGGTCTGATGTCATAATCACTGAACCGTCCATCGGAGAGGAAGGAATTCCCTTATTCCCAGACTTAGAGTTTCAATTGCCAGAACAAGGTAAGACGGAATAGTAGTAGTAGTGTCACCTGAAGGTGTCGTTTATTGGCCAGTCCACCAATACTTAAGTTCTGTTAGTCGCATAACGTAGTAACTAGCGACCAGCAGTTTTACCTACTCAATAAAGTATACGTGGTAGTTTCTAAAACTGTGGTGTTCAAATTAGACAATTATCACTAATCTACAATTAATCAGTTCTTTAGCTAGAAAGCACTGCATGATCTTAGACGAAGATAGCGAGATACTGTCAGCAACAAATTTCATTATGGTGAGCATATCCAGCACACATATGTTACGGTCGCAACAGTACCATACATTGGATGGTAGGCAAACTTGTTAATTTTGGGTAGTGGTCCAAGGAGCTTTCTCTTCTAATACAGGTTTACTCAGAAAATAAATTATGTACTAAGTAGCGAATAGTAGTCCACTGACTTGTGAGTGAAGTGCTACTGTTTCTACGGTCAAGCCCTAGCCAATAAGAATGACGAGCTTATCAACAGCATACAGTTTTGGGATCAAAATATCTACAAGGCGCAGTTTGGTGGACAGTTCATCATATACGACACAGGCATATTTCGGCAGTTGGATACTCAATTATTGAAGAGAAAGGGAATATGTTGCCTTTGATTCCGTACACTTTAATACTTGTATTATTTGAGATGAAACCAGTTTGGATTTTATTAGAAGAGTGTGGCCGAAACTATTTGAACATATTTCTTGGTTTTATTTCAACGACAGCTCCTTCGTGACAGAGGCGTTGTGGCTTCTACTATCTGTAAGCCTGCACAACTGCATGAAACATTTCGCGGTAGTTGATGCAATGCACAGTAGCAGGTACTCTGTGCCGAACCATTGCGTTTTTCGTGGTCTTCCTACTACTCATGCCTGATTTGGTGTGTCTCTATGAATTTGAGAATAAACTATTTATTTATTTAGTTATTTATTTAGTGTCGGGTTAAATGTTAAACCTATTAAACATCAAATTCTTATGTGTAACTCTGCAGTGGTTTAGCGACCTTTCCCACAATCACTTGTTCACACATTTAAATCTTACATTACAGAAATGCGGGCCGGCATTAACGCCCAACTTCATGCAGCTGCTGCTGCTGTTCCCTTAGAGGACTGTCTAGTGTGGATCGTGTCAACTGAAGACCTACTCAATTCATCCCGTGGAACAGATTTGCATCAATCAGAGGACGAACGTATTGATTGGCCCGTGGATCTGGTCGTGCAACTCGGCCTGTCCGGTACAAATGACAAACACGGAGTAAAACTTCATGGCCGGAAGCCTGCAGGATACTACGAAAGTCTCCTGAGGACGTTTCATTATTTCCCTCCAAGAGAAATACGTACATCTGACGAGGCCAATAAACCAGATCCTCGAGAAGCAAACGTTCGATACGTGGCCACTGTGGGTCTCATGTGCAGTACGGATGCAGGACAGCATATGACCAATCAGTTTTCGGTGAAGGTAACACTTCGGGAGACTAATGATACACCTGATGAATAACTGGAGAGCGTTTCGGTTGCTATTAAAGACATGTTCTGGACACGACGTTAAACCAAACGAGATGCGGCGGATAACTTGCAACTGTGAGAGAGTAGGGGTTACACCTAAGTGTATTTTCGTTATACATGAGGCTTTAGGTACGCTATCTGTAAGACACCGGAAGCCAGTTGACTAATGGTTTATTGAGTGAACTAACCACAAGGCATGTCACGAAGAGGAAATGGGCGGGAAACATCGTACTAGTAAGAACACGTGTCGAAAAACGGGAATGTGGATTGGTGATTGTTAGGAGCAGATAACAATGCATTCGTCGGATTTTAGAGAAATTTGTCTTACCTGTCACTCACAGAGGCATCATGCTTATTTACAGTCATGCTATATGGGGTCAATGACGACGAGACCAGAAAGAGTCATTCGCTTATGACACATTGTTGTAGTGTGTATACATGACAAACCTGCTTGGCAACCGCTTTGTTAAGTGGCAGCTTTCTCAAATTCAAAGACGGCTGTTTGAACTGCTACTGAAAGTGTGTTTGATGACCGTTATCTAAGTAGCAAACTCATTTGACTATGGTAGCCATTCGGATTCGTGTCAAGATGAAACTTAAGTAAGCGGAAATGTGTGTCATTTTCGTCCTTCACAATCTGTTATGTTGGCCTTAGGTCACTGCGTATTCTCGGTACCCACTGGTAAACAGGTGAGAATTTCAGTGCTTACCAGGTAACAGTTCCGCCAAATCCGAAACGAATGGATAGGATATTCAAGGGGCTGCATCTAGTGTAGATACTTGGTGGGAAAATTGCTGAAACGAACAAAAATCTTATCGGTGTGTCTCGAACCGCCGAAGTTATTTTGTGCAGTCTGTTGGACGTCACTTTTATTGAAAGCGGTACAAGTGCTGCTCCTAGCTTAGGGACTTGTAGTTGCGCTGATAATGTTCAGTAATCTGAACTCAACCATAATGAAACGGAGCATGTTCTGGGTCAATTACATTTAAGCCTCGTGGTGTGTGTATGCCCGCTGTCCTTGTAACCTATACGATCAGCATCAGTAGCACTAAGTAACTTGAGGGGACAAAACTTGTCAGGCCGTTTATGGAAAACCATCATTAAGATTTCGAAACGGAGCTCGTAAACTGTCAAATACTGGTGTTACTGAATAGCGGGAGAGACAGGGTTGCTAATTCCACGACTCTAAAGGTTATAAACTAGAGTCAACTGTTATGGGAACACACTTTCGCATATATTCATGCAAGCCGAGTTGCTTAACCCAGCGAGCATCACCTTCGCTTCACGCTTGTTAGGTTTAAACGCATCCTGATCTGTGTGAAATTCATGTATGAAGCCATATATAGTTAAGGTCGCTCAAGCTTCTGTTAACCTTTAGCTGAGTCAATAGAATCCCTCTTGGTTAAGGTCTCTCTTCAGTTTTCTGTCTCGGGTCCGAGTGTGAAGTATGGTTAACGATCATCGCCAGCATAACACCATCCGTCTCGCAGACTTGCGTGACATCAGCAGTGGTCCAGACGAAAGAACATACTGGACAACTCCTGATCCGCATGTCACTCTTAACTGAACACCGATGGAATTCGTTCAATTTATATAGGCTATCAATGGTTTCATGACAGATGAGCCACTTTGGCGAAATCTGTGCAGCTCCGCAAAAATTGCTGCACCTCTCGTAACACCCTAATTGCTTCCATGATATGGGACAGCTTTTGAATGAAAGTTGACCAAAAGTACATAGTGGGTCCAAACTGTCAACGCGAATCCATCATTAGCGCCAGTTTGCAGCGCTTACTGAAGTTCTGAAATGTGTCAGAAGCTGGTCCGTCACTGACACACCTTCATCGGTAGTGAGACGGTCGCTGTTCACAGAGGACGGATGAGGCCAAAAACTGAGAGAGTCTACACGCCCCAGCAACCAACAGTACTATTAGTCCAGCTCCCCTTGCCACTGGCTGGGGCTACAGATTGGCTATTTGTGTGCGGATAATGCTCCTAGTACATACAGCTTAAAGAATGTATAACCATGCTTATGGAACTTCACAACCCTGCACACTACATGACTGTACCACAAATTTTGGACTGCGGTCCTAATTTCACTACATACTTTCAGTCCCATTTTGAGTAGCTTTATGACAGCCTGTGTGGGGCAAGCCGTAACAAAGGGGGCTAAATGCTGACTCACCCCTCAGGCGTTACCAACCATAGGGTAAGAGCTTCAATAAATTTTCTAACATTCAACTATAGTCGACAAGTTCATGTTTTGAAATATTTTTCAGGGTGCTAAATGCATTCTCGCTGAACTAGTGGAGTACGGAACTTCGGTATGAGGGTTGGGTCGTGGTAAAACTTGTTGGTTGTCAGTGTTCAGTTTGTGCAGTAAAAGCAAGAAAGTGATAAATTCCGAACGCCTGAAGCGCTCGTCATAAACCCCCCAACGGCTGGTACTAGATTTGGACCTAACTTTCTCTCTGTGAAAACCATTTCAAATCCCACGTCGCTTGCACTGATCACCTAGGTCAGGATATGCAAGTGGCCAGCACCAATCACCAGTGAGCTTCTATTTATCTTGCTAAACAAGGTATTAGTAGTAAATTACATAGACGCTGTGAACGCTCTTCCCCACCTCCCTCTTCCATCCATTCTTTTAATATGGATTCGGTTAGTTGCTACCCACCTGCACATATCCAAGTCTACGCACAACGGCGAGTTTTTGTATGCTTTGATCGATGACTTGATGCATGCACCCCCACAGGTTATGGTATCTCTATACTATTTCTGGTTACTGACTCACTCATGACCGACGGATATATGTCAGTGACGAGTAACGCGCTGTCCAAGCTTAACAACTTAAATGGTTCTGCAGATGTGCGTTAACCAGGCGACTCGCAATAATCACTTGCGTATACATTTTAATCAGCCGGTTTCCACTTCTATCATCGGGAACCACTCATGTCTAACTGACACGCTCGGAGTCCAAGTATACTACGTTCCGTTGACCGAAAAGCAAGCTGAAAATTGCACAATTTATTTGATGAGGTATGAAGGAGGAGAAATATAGTGATTTCCAATTGAGATATCGCAGTCCCACTCAGTCGGTGAGCTGCCACACATTTATAAAAAGGTTTGACGCTCCGTAGTCTTGTGGAAATCCTCCATTAAAACAGATCTCCTTGCGGGAGTAGGACCCATGACTATCTATTTAGGAAGCGTCATTTTACGCAGAGTTCGCCACTGATACTGATTAGAAGCAGCGAGTAGAGCATACTCTGTGTAGCTGCATCAGTTGTCGCTTTTGGGCATTGACGTATTAATTATCGTTTCGCTCTTTATATTTTGCCTCTGCGAAGTGTTTGTCTAGAAGCCTCTTAAATTCGGCCACTGAATTCGCCTCTATTACCGGCTGCGGCAGGTTGTTTCAGGTATTCACCACCCTACGTTTGAAACAGAGTTGGTGAGCTACCCGCTTCAACTGCGGTACGATAGGTTTGTACCGGTGTCCTCGCGTGCTTCTTGGTGTGCGCAGATGAAGCAGTTGTCTCAACATGGGGTAATCACTCAGATGTAATATCCGGTGCGTCGTGATTAGGTCAACCCTCAGCCGACGATATGCTAGGGTGTACAGCCCTAGTTTCTTACATCGGTCTTCATATGGCATACCTCGTAAGTTGGGAATCAGCCTAGTGGCTACATGCTGCACCCGCTCAAGCTTTTCTACCTCGCCCAGCGTGATGGGTCAATATGCGGGAGAGCCGTACTCTAGCATTGGTCATATTATCGAGACGAAGAGGCGAGTAGCAATCTCTTCGGACCAAGGGCTGAAGCTGCGCCTGAGCGCCCAAAGCTTCCGAAGGCTGTTTTGGTACAGCTTATTCGTGTTGTCAATGGACTTTAGGTCGCAATGTGAGAGCACACCGAGGTCGCGCACGAAAGACGCGGGATGCAGCGGTTGACCAGCCACTGTGTACCTTCGGCTGTGCTCACACTTACCCAACCTCATGAATTGCGACTTAGCAGGGTTGATCGGAAGGTTAACCTCTGCAGACCATGTTGAGAGGCTGTCGAGATCCTGCTGAAGTAAATCACAATCATTGAAAATGCGGATTACTCTCCACACCTTCAAGTCATCTGCGAACAACGCACATGGTGATTGGAGTAGCTTAGGCACATCGTTTACATTGATCCGAAACAGTATCGTCCCAGTACAGTGCCTTGGGGAACGCCGCTGCTCGATGAATACCAGTCCGTTAGACGGTTGTCCACCTGGACTCTCCACTTCCGATCCACAAGGAAATTTCTGATCCATTTTGTGTAGCGAACCACCAACACTACACATCCTCAGCCTGTGAAGGAGCACTGCATGGTTAACCTTGTCAAAAGCCTTACTGAAATCAATGTAAATGACGTCGACTGAATGGCCTTGGTTCATCGCTTGTAACCACTCGTGCCTTGTCAATAGTAGGTTGGTGATGCACGAGCGACCTTTCATGAAACCATGCTGTGCGGAGGTCAACAGGTTTTTCGACTCGAGCAGCTGCAGAAGGTTCTTCTTCACGATCTTCTCGAGCGTCTTTGCCAAAATGGCAGTCAGGCAGATCGGCCGGTAGTTATCCACTTTACTTGGGTTACCACCTTTCGGTATAGGCTTTACGACTGAGCATTTCCAGTCGTCTGGTAACAGTCCAGTGGATAGTGACCTGTTAAACAGTTCAGTTACAGAAGGCGCGATGATGGCCGATAGGGACTTGTGGATCAGTCGGTATATACCTTCTGGTCCAGCAGGCTTTGTCCCGTCAAGATTTGCTAGAAGCTTGCGCACATCCTCAATATTGAAGTCCAGGCTGTTAAGTTCGACTGGAGCGGTACTCGTCGAACTCGTTACAGACACCTGGTCACATGCAAATACGGAGGCGAAGTGCGTCGCCAATGCGGACGCACGATCTGTACTCGAGGTTAGGGGCTGCCCATCGGGGCCTTCTAACACTGGGACATTGGCTACAGGCCTCAGGCGCCGCTTCATATATGAAAAGATCCCCTTGGGAGCAGTTTTTGCGGCGGCTGCAAGCTCCTCTTCGAAGCTTCTGCGTTTTCTTGTTTTCACATTGTTGCAGCGATTACGCTGTACCTTATACGCATTGTGGTCCTCATCAGAGCCAGATAACACGAACTTGTTCCATAGTCTGAGTCGTCGTCGGGTCAGTTTGTTGTACTCTTTGTCGAACCAATGTGGTTTGACTGGCCCAACTTTTCGAAATTTGAGGGGCACAAATCGGGCGCACAACGATTTCACTCCCTCTTTAATGATAGTCCAACAGGTTTCACTAGATGCATCCTGTGGTAAAGACCAGTCCGTCTGGCTCGCTGCTCGAATGAGGCTATTAAAGTCCGCCTTCAAATAGTTGAAGGTTGACTCCACTGGGGGAGAATACGGTAGTGGTAGTTCCATGCTGCCTATGATCATCGAGTGGTCGCTCGCTCCCAGAGGCTCTAAGACTTGAATGTTATGCACACGCTGCTCACAGCTAGTCAAAAGTAGGTCTAAGCATGATGGAGCCGCGCGCGCAGTAATGCGTGTCGGTTGGTTGATGTGCTGTGTGGTCCCAGTTTCAAATAGCAACTCCGTAAACTTCCTCTCGACTTCACAGTGGCCGGGGAGAAGTTCAGCTTCAGGCCACTGTATTCGAGGCAAGTTGAAATCACCCATGAGTAGGAACATCTGACGACTCATGTGGTTGCGGACAGGCGGCAACCAGTCCAAACTGCGGCTCAGTGGACTGCGATATACCACGCCCACGAGCAACTCGCAGCGTCTGAGGTGAATCGAACACCATAACTGCTCACATAAACCATTAGCGCTTTAGTAGGCGCTCACTAGTCTCCCACACAAGGAAGATTTTATGTAAAGTATTAAAAGTTACGACCTAGCATCCTAATGGAGCCTAACCCATACTATATCACTTTTAATAAGCAGTCATGGGAGAATGGTCCGGACTGCCTACTGGGACGAAATGACCGTCAGACGGTTTTCCGTGTGTGGTGATCATATGCATTTGGTAACGATGGCTTGCGCTAATATACCACAACTTTAACTACTTTCCAAATAAAAGTAAGTTGTTTTGATCAGGTATTTTTGAGAAGCACAACTGCCTATGACCTTATGGTAACGAGTCGTCGTTCATGTTGCAGCTTACTGCAGAGGTTACTTGGGTTGAAAAATAGAGGTAATTGTATTGATGAGGTAACCTGAGTAGCGCAATGAACTAGGTGACTTCAACGGTCATGAGTGAGCCGGTTTATGGTTACACTGACAACACTTTGAGGCAGCAATCTTTAAGTTGCTGCCAATTTGTATCTCAAGTAGTACGCAACAACAGCTTCGTTTGGTTCGATTTGTTGACTTATTGCATCCCATACAAATACTCATTTAGTTGCTTTTTCTCACTGACACTAGGTTGTGCTAGAATCTCCCGAATACATCGAGCAGGACCTATCTGGTAACAGGGCTATTCAAAAGCTCTCCCCGAAGACCATTGATGCTACTCCAATTCGCACCCAACTAAACAAAGGACGTCGTCCTCGACGTAATGGATCGCGGACCATTAGAGAGGCAGAATTACAAAACGTACCACCAGTCCGACCAGAGGTACGTGAGTGACTGTGCCCATATAAAAACACTGACCACGTCAACACAGTTATCTAACCCGAAGTTGTAGCTATGGTATTTGAACTTTGGAACAGTTTGGCTTCACAGGAAAGCGGTAAAAAATACGGATCAAAATTCCTGCACGATAATTGTGATAATTACAAAATGTGCCGTGGTTAAGGAAAATCCGTAAGCACTAACTAGAACGACTTAACTTCGTTGAAATTCCGAACTTCTACAGTGCGCCTCCGTAAATTTCCAATACGTCTCGTCTGTACCTGTCAGTGCTGCAGGCTTTCGTAATGCCGATCGGTGGTGGTTGTCCTGCTGTGAATCCGTCGTAAATAGGAGAATCTAACGGTTGTTCCAAAGGGTTAAATCTACCGAAATGTAGCGATGGCTCAGTGCAGCATTTGATACAACCGTGTTCTGGAACCGTGTTTGTAGTTATGCAAATACGGTTCTTGTCCTTCCATCTACCTTCTACTTGGGTTAATTATAAGTCACGAAATTTATTTCGTATCTTGTTAAATGTACCAAGGGACCTAAAATATCAAAAGGAGTGCATGATCGGAAAATTTTCAGGCAGTTCACAATCGCTGACTGTCAGACATGTCTATTTCGATAATATTTCGTGCAATGCCTAGTTGAAGACAGGCAGAATAGCGGTGACAAAGCCGGAGAATGATGGGCCTCTTTGTCTTTACTTACTTTACTTCAACAGCTAGGTGAGTCCAATGGAAATGAAACCACAGACCATCGCGGACAATAGTTCAGTAAAAGTAGTGGTGACAGTAGCCGATAGGGGCAATCAGACAGATAGGGAAAAATTTGCTATCACATAATCCTGGGATGTTACGACAGCCCACATTTCGAACTGGGTTCACAAGGACTGCTTCTTACCCCTGAAATATGGTGTAGTGCATGATTGCGTGATTTCACCTGAGGAATTCAGCTCTGTATCGCACCTCGTCTTCAGTTCGGTATATTTCTGCTGACATGTATCATTCATTGTTGACTTCCAAAATGGTGGCCACAGTGGATCCTAGACATACCGATGAAAGGTATCAATTCAGTTGACCTGTAGGGTACTGCAGGAGGATTTAACTCGAGAAAAATAGTTGCGCGCAGTTATGAAAAACGCGATGTGACCGGCTTTGCATGTCCCGTAGGCAAATGCGGCTAAACGAATGGGAGATATCCACTTGCAAATACCAGCAAAAATATGCAAAACAAGTTTGGGGTGTATAGTCTTTGAAGCAGAACCAAACTCACCAGTAAGCTTTATTTATTTAGGTGTATAAGTATGTGTTTGTGATTCTAAATTAAACGAAGTCAGCGTCAGTCGTATTCGATAGTCGTCCATGGAAGGATATCGCTTGTGTGTGAGACATCCGCCCTAATGAATTCGTACCGGATAGATGGCAATGTGTGCACGCAACTCACTCACACCGACTATTCTACCCTTTGTAATGGAGTGCGCTATGGCGACATCCACAAAAATGGAGGGATTAAACGTTGCAGGATGGATCGAACTCTGCATGTCACTTCACAGTCAAAACCCCCGAACAATGTGAGCGCCTTGCAGTAACATTTAACCACGGTATGTATTGTGACAAAGTTTAAGTACTTTTTACGAATGGCACTTCAACCAATAACACCACCTTCTTAAAGGACCCCTATGGAACGGGCGTCCTCGTCATCATCAGTGAGCATTGGGTAGGTTTGTTTAGCAGAATCTTCCGTCATTGCTTAGTTGGCATTCTGTATATCTGGCTGGCTTGCCTATATACTGTGCTTGACCATCAGTTCCACTTGCATCACTTTATTTCATTCATAGACGAGGTCACATGTTTCTTCAGTAGTCGTTGGAACACTTGTGGTCGTAAGTGCAACGCTGGTGCTTCTCACTGTGGCCCTAGTCGTGTTTGTTCGCAAGAAGACGTGGAGAAGAAAGGTTCGATCGTCGGATTCGGTTGAACATCCCCGCCGCCGCCGCTTCCCATCAAAACCAGCCGATTTCGGTGGATCCAGCCTCAAGTTTGATCCAACTTTACGTTTGACTGCCAATCCCATCGGGGAAATGGAAGTAGGTTTATTCAACTGCAATCTATCTTTACAACTTCCGGTAGTAGATTGCACGCGAATTCGTGTTGAGGTGAACTAGCAGCACCGAAATGTACGACAAGATTGGTTAAATACTTGTGAAGATTTTGTTTGCCCACAACTGATGGAAGTAAACACCCAGCTGTAAAAGTCCTAACCGTCCTCAACCTAGATATGGTCTTGCAGTTTGATAACCACAGCCCATCATAACCGGTTGCGCTAGACGGAGATGCTGTGTTGATTCACTCTGCTCTTTCGGTTGCTCATTTGATCGCCGAGCTGCGTAATTTGTTTGCAAACGTTTCACCGCAATGCGAGGCGGAATTATCAGTGCGTCAAGATGTGGAGTGTAATCTTGCACTGATGCCGCTTCGCATGAAGGTGAAACGTTTGCAAACAAATTTCGCAGCTCGGCGAACAAATGAGCAACTGAATTATCAACCCGAGCTGCCAGTTTTCCAAATCACTCTGCTATGTTGATACTAGACGGTGGTAATGTAGTACAACATTTATCCAGAGAAAATTTCGGTTCCCTCGCTGCATTTGGGGCTTACCTTATACTTCAAGTTGCTGCAGATGGTGGACGAAGGTGGCTGCCATACAAGCACTCCGAAACAGATTTGTTCGCGTTGGGCTTGGTTAAATACCGATTTCACTCTGGTACCTCCTCTTGATTGGGCTTCAAAGTAATCTCTCTTCTATCTTGCTTGTCAACCTCCCTTGGAAATAGTGCAGCAGTTTTAACGTGCACACTAATGCAGTTTGGCCTTGTAATCTATTCCAGTATGTAGGACTTGGAACGGTGAAGGAAAACATGTATGGCTCTTCGCGGGACTTGGCCGCTACTCAATGCATATTCTCGCCTCCATCGATGGACCCGTATAGCGAAGAAGGTATCGTGCGTTTGGCTGGTTTAGAAGAATTCGATGAAGATTACGCTGATGAAGCCAGTGAGGAACTATACAATGAAGACGTTAGTCAAGACCATGTGCAAGAATTAAACGACGGTGAAGTGCTGCAAAACTCCACGGACTGCTCCGAACTAGAGAATTCCACACATGAAGATGGACTTGCACCTCGTTGTTCAAGCCACTTGGAAGCTTCTCAATCACAGGTCCACGACTGGCCAGGAGAACAAGAGGCTGCTACCGATCGATTGCCATTCGTGGCTGACCCCAACAAATGTTAAGTTATTCAACATGAACCGCTGCTGAAGAACAGCTGAACTGTTGCATCTATTTAAATACATCCTTCATATTTCCATTACAATGACATATGTACAATATCTTGCACTGTCATTGTGGTTCTTTGGTTCATAAAACTACCGTCAAATTTCACTATCCCCTTTGGCGACCATTTGTCTTATTTGGACACAGTAAAATCCGGCCAGCCTCCTCCGTAAATGCATGCATTACATGCTGCTTCATTTAGTTGTTGTTAACATTTCTTTATTGCAGATATTCTCTTATGTGCAAAGTGTGACCACATCTTACCATAAGCAGTTAACGCGCGTATTATGCCACTTGTCCAGTTACTGCTTCGTTTTATGACACAAAAGTTCTGCCGGATTCGCATCGTGGCCAACTACATCTGTCTGTGCATACGCGATTGTCTTTAGGTCTAGATCCTATGGTACAACCACTAACTGGTCCCAACCGCTAAAATGCCCCACTGTCATAGAGACTACATTACGTCTACCTTGCTATCGACACCTCACTGCAACAGTGTTCTGCATGAGTTTGATCAGTTGCATACTGTGGAGGCAGGGCGGCAGAAGTGACAGCCGTGAACGGAACAGATTTTGCTATTAATGGCGTTACTAGAATCGGTTGATATGAAACAATACATTAGATTTACGAATAAGTAACGTGACTGGCGAAAAAGGACAACAATAAATACGCAAATTGTTCAAGTAATGAAGGTTACAAGCAAGTCAAAAATGTGCCAAAGTAAAGGAAAGTTGCTTTAGAGGTGAAAAACAACAACTTACAAATTTAAGGAAAAACAGTTGGCCACAGAAACTGAATAAACCTAAAATCTGAAAATTTGTAGCAAAACTCAAGTGGACAAAACCATCGATAGTCTTTGGATTACACTCTTGAGCGGACTACTCATTACTTGTCTAGTATCGGTCAAAGTTGAAGCACCCTTGGCCTCGCTTTACTGCACAGCACAAACAAGTAATTTGTCTCATTTGGTTAATATTGTGCTTGTGCTCAGCTGTAAAATAGCCGAAATCGTCAGTAACATCAGCCAACAAGTAATGTTTGTTGCAGAAACTTGCCCCAACCTCAACAGAAGATGACTTTTACTTAACTAGGTAACAAGTAAACGGGCATAATCCCATTCGACACTTCATATGGCAGCAACTAGCAATGGTACTCAGTAGACAACTGTTTCTGAAGACGTGAACGGAGCTATTATGACTACTGAATAGTGTTGGGGTTAATTGAGAAGTAGTAACGCAGCAAAGACAGCCATAATGTTATCTCAAATAATACCCGAGTTCGAATAGCGGCAATAATACCGGTAAGGGACCCTAACTGCTTAGTACCGCTCAACGGTATAGAGTAAGTGAAGTTACAGATGAGCAGTTGCACATGCTACTGACTACACAATGGCAAGCACGGAGTCAGTGGATCCTGCAGGGTGTGTATACAGCCACTTTAGCAAATCAGTGATACTGCTCTCAGTTTCCCTTATGGAATTCGACATTGATTCGTTAAATCGCCAAACTGTACTGTATAAATGATGTGCTTATTAGGCAGGCAGTAAATATTTCCCCTGATCCTTACATCAGTAGTCTTTGTGAACGAATTATAGTGGACGGTTGTGAATTTCATCACTTTCTAACACAATCATTGACAATACCTTGGTAACTAGGTGTCAAATGCTAATCGCATAAGCATAACAAACTGTAGCTGGTGTTAATAAAATTGACGGGCCTACGATCTGAAGTGAGTGGCCGATCCTGGTTATGCTGTGCTAAACACCTGATGATGTGTCCACCCATGTGGTCTGAACCGATCAGCGCACCTTCTTTGCTTTACACTTCGAAGTAGCTCAAAGAGCGGCAGAAGCGGTCTTGAATCTGGATGACCGGAAAACCTGTTATTAACGTGTGAACCCAACGGAAGGGAGGAAGGATTGCGCAACTATAATATTCAAAGCGTTTAAATCGGTCGTTGCCATTTTTAGTTAAACAACGTTTTATAGCATCTATTGCGGAGGTGTCAGTGTTCTCGAAATATTTTGGCATTAGCTTTGGTTAAACTATTTCCAAGCTCACCGTTTTTCTTATACACTCACTTTCGAGAAAACACCAAGATACTGCGCAATGTACACAATTCATTAATGAGAAACGTTGCAGCCAACTGGGATGCGCAGTCGTGGCCATAAAATTGCTTTCGCCGATGTGCCCTCAACATAATGTAATTTCGGATTTTTCTCTCCAGAAACGTTATGGTTGCATGTAGACAAGGTACCATTTTTCTGGTGACAACTGTGCGCCATCACTTTTTTTCCTTCCTACAAATTTACACTTCTAGTATGTCCTTTTAAGCAATACACAGTTGACAGGGTAACAGGCTGAAAATATGTTCATCTGGGCACAGAAGCTTCCCTTGATTTCCCCTGATTTGAATCCGCTACTAATAATTGCCTCTAGTCAAGAAAGTGCTCAAGGCCCCCAGGAAGGGGGAATATTCGCTTGTAATGCCCAAGTTGCAAGCATTGTAGCATGATATAAATGCATCTCAGAAATGTGGATAAATAAATGAAAAACTATTGTAGGTTCGGAATCGCAATAGAATTAGGCTCCAACCAAGCTAATCTCGACTCGTAGTAAGAACACCTGAATTGGAATTCGAAGTTCGCGGCTTTATATTCTAAGTCAATTGGTGAAAAAGAATGACAATAAGCAATCATAGAATATTGTTTGTACCGTCAGCACGTCCTCCGCAACTTGAATGCAATGCCAGGTTTCTGTAATCCTGTTGAGATTTCTGTTTCAATCTGACGGATCTACTTGGAGGCTAACTCTGCTCGGAACTCTCACGAGAAACTAAAAACGGAATTCTTATTAGTATTTACAGAGCACACAGAATCCAACGACAACGGACCGCAATCCTTGTATCCCACCTGATCAACCTGCCGTTTATGTACAGAGCAATCATCAAGATCCAAAATTTTAACCATACGACTTCCAAGGTTGTTAACAACATGATTCCGGTTGTATGACGTAAATCATTGCCCCCTAAAATAAGATACTTCAGCGGTTCCCAAACCAAGCATGTTCGACCTCAATTGTCTGGATTTACGCAATTTAGCGGGTGTATTTCCCGTGGTGGAATGCACACAATTCCGATATTGAAGAAGGAAGTTACCAACAATGCGATCAAGTGCAGCAAAAGAAACACGAGCACATGAGGTAGCCGAACGTTTTAAAGTCGCAACAACGTTTTCAGCTGGACCATTAGAGCATGGATGTCGTGGAGCAGTAAAATGGTGATGACACCCAAGACTCTGCAGCCCATTTGGTAACAAATGAAGCTGAAAAGTGCGAGTCATGGTTACTTACCACAGCTAATGAGACTGCTTCCCTACTAAACACTTTTCGCAAGGCAAGGACAGTAAAATCAGCATTTGGTTTATCAGTTAGTAATACTTTTGGCCACTTTGAATAAGAATCCACTACCATAAGTGTATAGTACTTCTGTAGAAATGGTCCACAGTAATCCAGATGTATCATTTGCTAGGGCTTGCATAGCATCAGCCATGGCGTCCACTCGGATGGCTGCTGTGGCATCTTTTGCTAACAGTTCGGGAAGCCAGAAGGAGGTCGTCGAATATCTGCTATTAATTCCGGCCATCAGCACAAGCATCGAGCTAAGGACTTCATATTTTCTACACCAAGGTGACCAGAATGTAAATCCGTCGGGGCAGCTGAGCTCAAAGTCGGCGGGATAACGACACGATCATTCACACACAGTAATCCATCAGGTGCAACGCACAACTCCACACGACGCACATACAACTGTGAAAACTTCCGTTTTAGAGAAACAAACCGTCCTCGTTTGAGAGCAGAAATCAACGAACCGTAATACTTTCTAGTCTTCTTGATATGGATTGAACGAGAGATTGAAAGCGGCTGGGTGGGTAAACAACTCAGCTCAGAATCGGCTACGAATGCAGTTGCATTTCGCAATAAATAGTCGACGTGGGGAATGAACTTTGCACTTCTGTGCTCAACCACATAGTTGTACGCGCTAAGAGCAACACGGCAGCTTTGGACCATAGCTGCTGAAGCTTTCGCTAAAGATCTGGCAGGGTTGTAACTGAACTTTAGAGCTTCATGATCTGTCACAATGATAAAGCTGGGACCAAATAAATATTTGTAACATCTAATGACTGCACAGTATACAGTCCAATCTTCTCGATGAGTCTGAGCATAGCCCATTACAACATTGCTGAGTCGACGAGAGATACACAGAACAGGGTGTCCATCTTGCTTTAACACAGCACCTATACCGTTTAGTGAGGCATCTGTGAAAAGCATGGTTGGTAGTTTCCCACGGACTGTACAAAGAAGACGATTAGATGCAAGCATTTTCAAAAGCTTTCGAAGAACCTGCTCATGTTTGTCTAACCAAACAATACTCTTGTCATTAAACAATGTGAATAAAGGATCAGAAATGGATGCAAAATTAGGAATGAATTTAGAATAATACTGTAAGGCTGTCATCAGTTATCGAAGCTCATGAACATTGGTGGGCGACTTCACATCAACCAATGGCTTTATCCGAGCGGGATCCGGTTTGCTTCCTTCAAATGTAACATGATAACCAAGACAACTTATCTCTTGGACATCACTTAAGTACTTCATTGGGTTGATTTTCACATTAGCATCTTTGAAGCGAGTTAAAAGTAGAAGCAATCAGGAATCCTGAGTATGTTTATCGGCAGCATGCACAAACACATCGTCTTGATAGACCTCACTATCCTCCAGGCTATACACAATGGTGTTCATCACTTTTTGCAATGTGGCTGACGACACATTAAGGACCGAAGGGAAGAAATTTATACCGTTGCAACCCAAAAGGTGTGTTGATGGTGGTCAGTTCACTAGAATCATCAGTGAGTGGTATCTGCAAATATGCATCGTCTATGTCTAGCTTCCATAAAGTCTTG